AGCTTATCTACAACAGGTAAGACATTACCTGTTCATAAGCTTATCTTTAACAGGTAAGACACTACCTGTTCATAACCTTTCCACTGAACCTTACTTGAAAAGATCTGAACTGTTTCTTTAACGTTGTGTGTACATGAACCCTCATCTGATTCACCTGAGCGTTTTAGTCGCTGCCTTTTAACTAAACAGCTTTGCTTCTTTGCTCTAAACCTCCTCACCTTCTCGGATAGCCGTGCACGGAGCCCCCTCCTCGTGCTCGAGCCTGATCTCCTTCAGCGCCACCAGGTTTTCCGTCAGCTTACTCCTCCCTTTATAGACGGTAGCGTACGTGCCCTGGAGAGCAAGAGGAAAATAAAAATGAATGATTGAGTGAACAAGGCTTCAGGAGCTGGACCACAGCAGCACGATGTGGTTGTCAGGGTTACAGGTAAACTCAGAGAGGTGCGTTTGTTTTATTAGTCACTGCGAGAGCTTCAGCACCTGGAAGACGAGGATATAAATCTCACATACCTCCCCAAGTTTGTCCAGTTTGACGTAGGTCTCCAGCTTCCCAAACCCAATTTCTGACTGGAGGAAACAAAAAGGACAAACAACATTAATGTTGGGAGTTTTTATTTTTTATTCTTTATTAAAGAAACAGTTATAACCTTAACAAAAACTGACAAGTCCTCACGACTGCCTCGCAGCATCATAAACACCAACTACAATCATACCCAATATAACGTGAGACGAGTCAATAACAAACTTAAATTGTAAAAACAAATTTAATACTTCAAATGTGGCGTTTTATTTTTTACTCCACACTTAAAGCTAAATTTTCTGGTTTTATTTTCGCAAACATATTTGGAGCCTTGAGTTTCACTGTAAAAAAAAAATTTAAAAGATAAATAAATAAATAAATAAATATATATATATATATATATATATATAAAAACTTCTTCCCTTTTTTACAACTATTACGTGATTAATTAAATACTGTAATTTCACGCTGAATAAAATTCATATTTCTTGCGACATTATATGCTTCAGAAGTGAAAAGAAATGCTGCCTTCACAAACGTCTGGCTCAACACAAACATGGCAGTTTAACAAATCAAAAGATCGGGATCGTTTGCAGCAACTGACACCAGGACGAAGACCGGTTCCTGACGAGCTGAGAGGTCAGAGGTCAAACACGCGAGCAAAGCCATTCAGAGCTCTAGAAACAACTGCAGGGCAGCGTGTAAACAGATCAAATAAACTGGGAGAGGCAGAGGTTTGGTCCTTTGTTCTGCTTTTGACAGATGCAAATTAAAAGAAAACACAAGCCAAATACAGAAGCTGCTGACTGCAGCGTAAACACGAGGGAATGAGCAAAAAGGATGACATCAGACGGTCTAAAGACGAGCTGTGAGCTCTCACTTCAGTTTCCTGAAGTATCTCATAAAAGCATGTCTTGAACAGCAGACTTTCTCGGCGTGCAGCCTCCCTGTGACCCCTGTTCTGTTCAACTTTCACTTTTACTATTCAAAGTGTTCACACGCTGATGTGGCCTGTACAACACTGTGCAACACTCCTGCAGTGCTATTATACAACAGAAACGAAGTTTACAGCATTCTGTTCAGTAAGGCTTCAACTCTAAATAATGAAAAACAGAGTTCTGAAGATCTGGGAGAGCTGTGGAATCAAGACTTAGACAAGAGGTGACCATCTGTGAGCAGCAGTATGGTTTGATGCTGAGAAAGAGCATCACAGATGCCATCTTTGTTTTGAGGATGAAGATGGAGAAGAACAGAGAGCGTCAGAGAGAACTCCATTGTGTTTTTGTGGATTTAGAAAAAAATATATGACAGGGTGACGAGGGAGGAGGTGTGGTATTGTATGAGGAAATCTGGAGCGGCAGAGAAGTATGTTAGACTGGTACAGGACATGTATGAGGACAGCAGGACATGCATGAGGACAGCAGGACATGTATGAGGACAGCAGGACAGTGGTGAGATGTGATGTAGGAGTGACAGATAGCTTCAAGGTGGAGGTGGGAGTGCATCAAGGATCAGCTCTGAGCCCCTTCTTATTTGATCTGGTGATGGACCGACTAACAGATGAGGTCAGGCAGGAATCCCCGTGGACTATGATGCCAGGAAAATGGGGAGTGTGGTAAAGAGGTGAAAAAAAGAGTACAGGCAGGATGGAGTTGATGGAGAAAAGTTTCAGCAGTGATTTGTGACAAAAGGGTGTCAGCAAAGGTCAAAAGAAAAGTTTACAAGACAGTGGTGAGACCAGCTGTGTTGTATGGTCTGGAGACAGAGACATGGACAAAAAGACAGGAGACAGAACTGGAAGTGGCAGAAATGAAGATGTTGAGGTTCTTCTTAGGAGTGACAAGGACGGAAAGATTAGGAATGAGATCATCAGAGGTACAGCACAGGTTGAACAACTGGGAGATAAAGTTAGTGAGACCAGACTGAGATGGTTTGGACATGTCCAGAGGAGGGACAGTGGTTTGGACATGTCCAGAGGAGGGACAGTGGGTATATTAGTAGAAGGATGTTAGAAATGCAGCTGCCAGGAAAAAGACAAAGAGGAGATATATGGATGCAGTTAGAGAGGACATGGAGGTAGCTGGAGTGAGGACAGAGGACACAGAGGACAGAGTGAGATGGAGGATGATTCACTGTGGAGACCCCTGAAGAGGGAACAGCTGAAAGAAGTAGTTCTGTCTAAACACAACCCCTCCAACCCACTGACAATAAGAAAAAAGAAAGATGATGTCTGTCACAATTGCTTTTTAAATAAAGTTTCTGCTGACAGGAAAAACCAGTACACATGGAGGGACATCAACAGAAGCAACCAGTTCCTGTTTCTGCTGATCCTCTGTGGCACCCAGGATGTGATGTCTGAAGTTCTGTCAATAATAACGTTTGAGTTCTCTTTGATAAACAAGCCCAGTTAAAAGTTTTTCAGATGACATCGTAAGCTCGAGCTTTCTGTACGAACTCTTCAGGAGTGTTTTGGATCGTTACCGTGCTGCAACATTCCTCCTCCAACAATCCTCTGTGGTGGGAATCATGCTTGTCTGTTTAAACACGGTTCTTGAAAAACTCGCTGGACCTGGAGAGATCAAACATCTGACCAGACGTGGTCCAGCATTCAGACGTCTCAAGGTTCTTTCAGAAAGTCCGATCTTGTCGTTTTGTGCTGAGGAGCATGCAGAGCTTACTTTGACCGTTGTCCAGAGGGGCTGACGTCACAGATTCTTGCTCTCTGAGATCTAAAAGAAACTGTTTTTTCACACGCAAACTGTTGAGTGTTTTCCTTTGTATCGATGTCTTACCTCAACACCCAACAGGTTTAAGTTTTAACTGGTCTACAACGCTTAAAATGTGAACAAGTCACTTTCACAAAATGCTGTACTTGCATAACATTAGAAACATCTGTCCAGCTGTCATTTTTTTATTCTAAAATTGAGTGGACGTTTGCTAATTATTCCACCGGGTCTTTTAAAACCAAGTTATTTATCATCTGTATTAGGGCTGGACGATATGCCAAAACTTTTATCACAATATATTTCTTAATTTTGGTCGATAACGATATAATTTGATATCGATATAAACAATATCCTCAGAAAAAACTGTACAAATAAATTAATGTTCACCTTTTGTGTGTATTTAGCCTTCAAAAAAATTTGAAATCACCGTCAAATGAACATAAAACTCTCAACTTTGTCAATATTAATAGTTTAAACTTTAAACAACAACAGCATGTGTTTCTCTTTTGATACAGCTGGGGGTGATGTTTCAGGGACACGTTGGCTCAGACTTCATTGTGCTTCATCTTCTGCATATTCTGTGAGTACAAACTCTTCAGATGAAACAAGTTAAACATGTTCCCACCGCTAGTTGGAACGACTCTCCGTCACATTTTGCAGCACACTGAAACCTGCAGTTTATCGGATCTTAGCTAGCCGAACCACTTCCACACCTCTGAATTAGTCTTTCCTCTCTTATCAGTGATGTCATCTGCTTTCTCTTCGCTTGTGAAAGTTTGTTCAGTCACATTCTGACGGTCATGGGCGCTCATTGTGAAGCGAAAACTTAACGCGCGTTGGAGATTAGCCTAGCCTGCTACTGCTAACAACTTCTGGACTCAAGCTCTGCGTAACATCTACGTCACCACGCACTGATGTAGTTGTGTCGCAGTTTTTTCCATTCGGGTTGAAACTGAAGTGGCCGCTTCATCCCGAACAGAAAAAGAAATGCGTCAATAGCTATGTTTACATGGACATAAGTAATCGGATCAAACGGCCATTCGGAACAAAAACGCGTCATGTAAACACCCCGTTCTGATTATTATTTTTGTTTATTCAGCTCAATCCAAAATAATTTGTGATCAGAACAAAACGGGTGGTTTACACCGATACACAACCCGAACGGTGCGCATGTAAACACTTGATCTGTTTGTTTTTATCTGATCGTGAAAAACTGACCTGACTGCACATGTGCAACTTTGCCATTTCCGCCTGGCTAATGCTAATAATATTAGCATGTCGGGGAAGCAAAACTGGTCAGTGAGCGACAACATTTCTACTAGAAACTCTGAAAGAGCTCAAAATGATCTGTATCACCTGTAGCTCAGTCAGGGAGTGCAGGAACGTCTCCACCGTCATTAAAACCTGTCGCGGGTCCATTTTGGTGCTCAGGTTTGTTTGCGTTCATCACGGAAGTAAACCAGAAGTAGAACTTCTTCTTCTGTGTTTTTTTTTTAAGGAGAGTTTACCACTCTGCACATGTCAGTACTGCTGTTCTGAACAAAGCCCGCTGCATGTAAACACTCGTCATGAACAGATTGTGTCCATGTAAACGATACATTTGAATTATTTAATCTGAAAACATTTCAATCCAGTCAAAGAATTTTGCGCATGTAAACAGAGCTACTGAAACGCTGTAATCCTATCAAAATATCGAAAATGTGTTTAAAATTCATATCACCGTTATTGAATAAAAGTATATCGCGACATATATCGATATCGAATTATTGTCCAGCTCTAATCTGTTTGGAACTTGATCTGATTGTGAATCTGACTGTTCTGGCCTGAATTAAATCACATGCAACGGTCTTAGAATTTGAACCATTTAATTTTAGTGTAGAGCCATGAGGAGACTTCTTCTTCTTCTGAATTAACTCTGTGTAAATAATCTTGAGAGAACGCTTTCAGTAACCAAGATAAAGATCTTATTGTTCTATATTTTCTTAAGAGCTCTTTGCAGTTCTCAAACCCCAAAGCCAGTAATTTTGTAACGTCACATTTTAAATTCCTCTGCAGCAGTAAATGCTCCTTTCAGACTCTCTAATGGTCTCATTATCTTTCCTGTCCTCAAACGTCCTCCTCGGAGCAGTTCCTCACCAGAGACGCTCGGCGGGAGCGGCGGCTCAGCGGCTGGTCGAAGGGCGGGCTGCTCAGCTGCAGCTTCTGCAGGTAACCGTCAGGTATCCGGATGTCGGCTGGCAGAGACAGACGTTTGTTCAAGTCCTGCACACAGACAAATGTGTAGAAACGTGATGCCCGTTTAAACAAGCGTAAAAACCGAACCACATGCACAGCAAACGGAGCGAGCGCTGAATAAGAATCAATGAGCTGTTCTGTACGAATCAGCCGGTTTAAAAGTCTCACCAATCAAAGAACATAACGGGGTTACAAACAAACATCGTGCGTCTTGTGATAAAATAAAGATCCATTTAAGGATTCAGGGTTTTAAAGCACTACACAGTAATCCTCATGACTTGTTACAGAAAACATCTGGATTCTTCCCATCATGCATTTCCTTTGTTAGAGGACTTTGAATCTGCTTCAACACGACTTCCACCTCATGCTGAGGTACATTTAAATGTTTAGACCCCAACCCTTGTCCTGCTCAACTAACAGGCACACGCTGCTTTTAAACGTTTCCAGTTTCTGCCTGTGCTTGCTGTGGAGCTGATAAACCTGCCGCCTGAGCTTCAGTGAAACACGACGGTGACTCAGGATCTTTCTCACCGACGACAGCCGACACCTTCACACATTTAGGCAAGTTACAAGAAGAAGAAAGCAGAAGGTTGATGCATGGCTGAACAATGTCACCGGGCAGGTTTCATATTGTTGTGGAGAGAGCTGCTGTCAGGACGGACGGCTCCGATCGCACATATTTGATTGACTTATGCAATGGTTTACGTGCAAACCTTACAACTGCTTTTGTTGCAACGTCAAGACGTGCGCACGTGTCTCACGAACAAAAAAATACAATTTAATGACAAAACGACAGCAACCACTGGATCTTCGTCTGCAACTGATGAACTTCTGGAGTCAACCCAGTTCAAGATGGCTGCCAACAGACCTTAAGAACTGACCATTTTACAGATACGGACATAATTCATTCTGAGATTTTGCTTTTGGAAACTTTAATTCCTCTTTTTCAGGCTGTAAATCAAATTTTTGGATGATTGTTTCCTCTGGTATCAGATGCTGAGCAGGATTTTTACTGAAACTTTTTTACTTTTGGACATTTGTTATGATGTGTAACCATAACAACAAGGTGTTTTTTTTACAACTGGGAGCAGCTGATCAACACCTCAAAAGCTCAAATAATATCTCAGCTACAGCCCCAAATCTCAAATGAGTTGAAAAGGAGGTGCTGTAGATGCATTCCCATCTCCCTGCTAGCTGTGCTTGAGTGCCTGACCACTGAGATCCTGGAGCTGGCAGGAAACACGACTTGTGACAGCAGAAGGACAGGATCGTACCCCGGCACCTGCAGCCAGCTGTTCGCAGCGACGCAGAGCTCGGCAGGCTGCTGGGAGGAGTGGCCTCCACTCAGGTTCTTGAGATGGCTCCAGGAGGAGTTCTGCCCAGCAATCAGGCGGTCCTGCTGCACGGAGGAACCCAGAGGCCAGCCTAGTCTGGGTGGACAGAATGGACGGCATCTGTGGCCAGTTTCTTAGGATCCACTGTGGGATGGACCTTTACAAGAGATCCTTCCTGCCCACAGCCATCAGCATCTATAACTTATCTTGAAATGAGGATAACAGCTACAACAACATTTAATTTCCCTTTGGGATTAAGGGAGTGTTTTTGAATTGAACTGAATAAAATGTGGTGTGGTAGTAGCCGAGACTGATCCTCAACACATTTTTTGAGAGCTAACTAATCACAATAGCTGTTTGGAGTCAACCCTGTCTGTTAGCAAAATAACTCATGAATAAACTGGATGGATTTTAATGACACTTCCAGGAAGTAATCACTGGATGTCCCTTTACAACTGATGAACTTTTGGAGTCGACCAAATTCAAGATGGCTGCTACAGCTAATCAGTGTTAGTCAACATCAAAATGTCTATCAGTCAGTTTTACTGATATTGAACTAGAATTTGATGTGGTAGTAGCTGAGAGTCTTTCACATGAGCTCACTCAAAACAACATTTTATTATTTGACCACAATGAGCATAAATTAGTGGTTTCATGTTAAAAGATAACTTTACAAAAATAATTTCCTCATTTTTGTGTCGGATTAATCAGCAGTCTCATTAATCACGTCTGCTCAGATGTTCGTACATTAATTCCAGCTCTGCTGCCCCGTCGATTCTGTCTGCACAGCCAGAACCAGAGATTTACCCTCAGATCAAGAGATGCCACTCGTCACCGGACCTTTGCTCCCACCCCACCCCCACCTTGTTGTCCAATCGACTCGTTCTAATCTGTTACAACAGGGGCCCATCTGGACCGTATTACATTAATCTCTGTGATGTAATCCCAAAACTGCCCGGCTTCCTGTGCAGCAAGAGAAACACGTTCCACCGCCTGACCACAGGGAGGGACGTTCTCATGCGTCCTGCTACTTCCTTTCTTTGAGTGCTGCAGCAGGACAAAAAAAAGAAGCCCCACAGTGATTCACTTCATCAACAGCGAGCCCAGGGTCAATCCTGCTGCTCAAACAGAACATTTGAGTTTGTTTAGTCACAGATACTGTGCGATTTGTGTTTCTGTCCAAACTGCAATCATCCTAATCTGATCGAGAAACAGTCACAGGAAGTTTGAGGTGTGCTTCCTGCACACACTTAACAGAAAGAGGTGATGTGTCGTGTGTGTGTGTGTGTGTGTGTGTGTGTGTGTGTGTGTGTGTGTGTGTAGAACAAAAGGAGAGAGCGATGCCTAGCTACTTTTGACATGGGGTTGTTTTTCTTCATGCATGCTTGCACGCTTGGTTTGTCTTTGCAGATATGGCATAAATCCCCAGCAGCTCTGAAATCACAACAGAGCGAGGGTTCTTCAATCAGAAGACCCGTACTCCTCTGAAACTCACTCAGTTCATGGCTAAAACCACAAACATGCATATGATGTTAAAATAAAGCCATTTTTGTCTTGTGTAACTATGCTATGTACTGTATGACAAAAAAACTGAAATGTGAATGTAATTTTCTTTTCCTTGAGCACTTTGTTGTTGACGAAAGGACATCCAGTTGTCCGACTCCTGATTTATGTCAAACGTCCATCCTTTAAATCCCATTAGCAGCAGTTAGTCCATTAAGACCTGAGACTCCCACACGCATACAGATGCACTTCAGCTCCTACTGGTCTGAGATGGACTGAAGGCTGCAACTGTAGGTAAAATGTGAGGGTGGTAGATAAACACAACAGCATTTAACGCTTAAAGTCCTCAAACATCATGCATAAACTTGTGGTCTGTTGTTAACGCTCTTTAAAACTCAAAGCACAACAAAAGGGAAAAATTGTTAAAACTAACAAGTCCACCCATTTACATTTTGTCACTATAACTGATGTGTTCAAACAATAGCAAAAACCTGGAAAATGAAACATCTGCCCAGATTCAGTCCAGTAAAGTAAGTTGTTTTAGTTGGAGATGTGAGGAAACATCTGCATGAGTTCTGATGATCATTTGGTCCAACTTGTGGACAAAAGTGGATTAATTTGATTATCAGTTCTCTTAAACAAAAAAGAAAATGACACTTGTTTCCCTGCTGAAGTCCTCATAAAAATAATTATTTCAACTAAAACTTTGTGTAAAGTGGTGCCATCATATTTGTTACACAGGAAGTCAAATTTGTTTTCTTAATAAAATGCATAAAAAAATGTAAATATAATCGTGGTAGTGATCATTTAATTTATGTTAAATAATTAGCTCTACATATGCAAACAGTTATGACACTTTTACCACAGAAAAATGTTTATGTTCATATTTTACGTTAAGCTCAAACACTCATCACCTGCCACCAAAAGGCATAAAATGCAGGAGATTAAACTTTTTACCTGCGTTTGTCTGTCAGCAAAATATCTCTTTAAACCAGTGGATGACATTAAAATGAAACCAGCACTTTCACTTTAACTTTCAAGATGGCTGCCACGGCCAGCTACCCTGAGAATACACAAAATGAATGTAGCTCAGTAGATTTGACAGTTATTGAGCTTACCTGATGTTAGTGGCTGAGAGTCATTCACAGTTAAGTTGCACCTACTTAATGAAATGTTATATTTTTTATTTCAGTATCAGATGTTTCACCCAAATCTAGAAAGAATATTAAAACTTTATTGAAGTTAATTTGGAAACACTTACAGCTTGGACTAATGCAAGCAAAACTTTGTTACTTAAAGGGAACCTATATTTTCTATTTTTCTATAATGTTTCACATTATGTAACCTGTGTGTGTGTGTGTGTGTGTGTGTGTGTGTGTGTGTGCGTGCGTGCATGCTGGGGTAGTGGAAATAGTAAAGGCTTTTCAACCACATTTTAAAAGTGTGTCTAGAAAAACAATACGTGGAAGTACATGGTGCATGTTTAGTGTGTGTGTGTGTGTGTTTATGTGTGTGTGTGTGTGGGGGGGTCTGCGGCAAAAATTATGTGAGCCGTTGAGGTCTTCGTGCATGATTATGATGAGAATACGCCCACGCTGAGTTACAGCAGAAAGCTGCTCAGCTGCTATTCGTAGAAGAGTCTTCAGAGCGATGCTCAGACTTCTTTAAAAACAAAAAATAGATCTGCTCTCTAAAGAAAGAGATGGAGCAGTAACTCAGGTAGGAACACAGCACATGAGCTGCTGCGATGGAACAGTGACGGGTCAAGAGTTCTTTCATATCAGGAAGTGACTCGCACACAAACACAAATCCACCGTTTCATCAGCAGAGAGGCTGCGCACGAATCTGGAGCTCAACCTCACCTCCGCAGAGATGCGTCTGTTCCCTTTGTTCCTCAGACAAACACCCGTGGGCGACTGCACCTCGTCAGAGGACGTCCCTGACGCCTGGTCGCTCTCCCCGTCCGACCCCATCTTCATATTTTCATGAACGATATCTGCAGATGAGCAGCAGGGGTAGAGTTAAACAGATCTGAACAGCTCCGCACCCCCTCAGTCACTTTCCAAGCTCTGTTGGTCACGTCAAGCTTTTGGCTGAATCACGCCAGAGACCCAGGAGAAGGAAATAAGTCTGAATGTGTCTGACAGAGCTTATTTAGGTCACAGATTGAGGGCCTTATTAGAAGAGCTTGTGCATCAAAAGTCTGAGCTGTTTTAAGTATGTATATAAAAAGACACGTTTCACTCAGTCTACAGTTTTCACGTCAGCCAAAACTGAAAACGTCTGAAGATAACTCGGTCTCAGAAATAGTCACACAAGCGCACAACATTTGTATGCGTACAATAAGATCCACAAGTGTAACACAAGTTTTACAAATGTACACATTTCAATGTGCACAAGTAGAAATATTCTGAGTATACAAATTATCAAACGTTTGTGCACAAATGACCTGCTGTGGACGAATCAGTCAACACGAGCGCACAGACACACAAACACTGGTTACGACTTCGGAGTCTTAACAGATTTACTGAATTACTGGGAAAAGACACATTTCTAACTTTGTACAAAAGCTTATAACCTCAATATTAAAACGCATAAACTTAAAATACATTTACTTTTGAGACAGACTTATCTTCATAATGAAGTGTCAGCTTTGGGAACACAAACTCTTGCTTTAGCTGAAACAAAAATTATAATTTTTTTTGTTGGCAAAATGAAAATTGGGATTCATTAATGTGTGTGTTTTTGCCAACACATCATCATATGTTTGTGTGTGTGTGTGTGTGTGTACATATTTTTAAACATCAACATGGTATTTTTAAAAGCTTGGGATTTTTTTAACTTAACAAATCAACTCACCAAGCTAAAATATCCAGAGACAAAACACCAACAGAAATCTCAGGTTCTGTTTTATTTCTGAAGCCAAAAGAAACAAATAATAAACAGGACTGTGTGCAGCGTGTGCAGCGTGTCTGCGTCTCACCGAGGCGACTGCCGTTGCGAGGCATGACCATGAGGGAGCCCAAACCTCCTCCGATGACGCTCTGCGGCCGTCGGATCGGCGGCTTCTTAAAAGATCCTGTGTACTGGTGAAGGAAGGAGTGGACGCTGTGAGCCGAAGGAGGTCGGCCGTTCTTCACGATGGGCTCTGCAGGAGAAAAATCAATGTTTGGTTAACGTTGTTAAAAAAGACGTCCGGCGCTCTGTGAGGAGCTAAACATCGACGTGTCCTGAACACAACTGAGATCATGACAGAAACACCAACATTTATAACATCTTTGAGAGAAAATTATATATTTAAAATGCAGTTTAAATAATGTGGTGCAGTTGGTAGAGCTGTTGCCACTCAGCAAGAAGGTCGCACCGGTTCATATCCTGGCCAGGGGCCTTTCAGGGTGGAGTTTGCATGTTCTCTCTGTGCTGCGTGGGTTTTCTCCAGGTACTCCAGTTTCCTCCCACAGACCAAAAACATGCATGTTAGACTGATTGGTAACTCTAAATTGTCTCTAGGTGTGAGTGAGAGTGAATGGTTGCTTGTCTCATTTGTCTCTATGTGTCCCTGTGATGGACTGGAGACCTGTCCAGGGTGTCCCCCACCTCTTACAAAGCGACTGCTGGACCTGGGCACCAGTGACCCCCACGACCTAAAAAGGAAGAAGCAGGTAAAGACAACAGAAGGATGGAAACTCCATGTCAACTCCGCTTTGTGGTCAATTTTAAAAACCAACAAGCTTAATGTTTTGAGCATTTTTTTTCTGTTTGAAAATGATTTTCACAATAAAAGAAAATCCCAAAGAAATCAAATTCCAGACAATTTACACTTTATGAATGTTTCGTTTCATCTTGGAACTCTAAAACTAGCTAAAGTAATCACCGGATGTTTGGCTACGACTGATTACCTTTTGATTCAAGATGGCCGCCACATCTAAAGTTTTGCAGGTCTTGAGCTACAGTTTGCTGTGATCGCAGCTAACAGCAATCACCAGCACATGCATATTTTGAATATTGTCTACAATCACGTCTTAACATTGAAAAAGACAATAAACAAAAACATAACATTAAAATGTGCATTTGGACAATTTTCTATTACACCAATCTAAAATAAGACTTGAAGCAAGAACAACTAAAATATTAAGATTATGATAAAACAAATTACAGCAGCAGCCAAAATCATTTCAAATCAACATTTAGTTGTGTTTACATTTTGTAAATGACCATTTCAAACTAAACTAAAATACATTTCTTTGAATGAAGTTCTTTAGAGGATGCATGAGGACACTGCAGGCAATAAACTGCAACAACCCCCTCCCACTTTAAAATGTTCTCTCGGTGGGAAGGCTCACTCATAGCTCTGATACTTGGAACGGTTTGATCATGACTCATCATAAATTAATAAATCAATTAAATGAAAGCCTTTTTATTGAGCAACAAGAGAACTGAAACAAAAAGGAAGAGATTTCAGTGGATAAAGACACGAGTGGAACGCTCACATGTTGTAATAATATTCCCACGCTGTGGGGGAGTGTAGGTTCTGGATGAGGCACATGCACTAAATGCTCAAACCAGACTGCAAACATGACATGTTACATAAAAATGTAAGTCTTAGGAAGAAGGATTCATTAATTAGTTCCTGCATTTCAGGGTCTGTTGCTGATTCTCTAAGTCAATCAGTTTAAAATTACTTTAGACAGATTTAATGTCATATAACTTCTTTCCTGCACTCAGCGTTTAGGAACTTTATTTTTGATGATAATTAGTAGGTGATGATCCTGTTAGCAATTGATGACAAATCACTGGTGCTCAAACTGCAGACTGAGCATTGATCAGTTACATAAGAGCCACGCTGGAGCTCATGTTCTTCTATAGATTTGTAAGAAACACTAAAAAAGCTGCTGTATGAAGCTCAACCTCAGGATTTCTCTCTGATCTTCTGCCCAATCTCATTTATTTAACCTTTCAAATCCTTCCACTGGGTTAAATGTTGTGTAAAATCTGTTTAACAACTGCTGAAAACACGTGAAATAAACATTTCTAATCAAGAACGGTCTTTTAATGGTTTTATTTCCACGTTTCAAGGGCACACAGCTCAAAACGGAGAGCAAGAGGACTGTCTGAGTGTGTGCGACGCTGAGTGAAATGAGCTCGGGATATTTATATAAACTACCGGTATGTGTGCATAAAAGTAAGTGAGTGTGTGAGTGAATGTGTTTTGAGTGTGATTTAAACAAGACATTTGTCTGCAGAAAAACCCGGATGGCTGCAGAAATTTTAACAAACACGTTTGCACTGTTCGTCCCGCACATGAACTTTAAGCCTAAACAATTATTAGCAGGTTATATTTGAAATTACACCCATAAATTCCACTACAGACAACTGCATGGGGACAGACTTGAGGCTGTTGATGTTCAATCTGTGTGCCCAGGCACAGTGCAGTGTCAGATTTTACACTGAACTCAATACATTAAAGCCAGACTCAGAAATATTTCACGCAGTGTCCCCTCTGGGTGAACAATGTCGTCAGGCCACAGCAAATTACTCACATGTTTTGGAGCCGTCCCACCGTGAAGAGATTCTGGCCTGAACTTTTTCTTACGTTATTTACTGCAATTATAGAGAATATTGCTTCTAATGTTTTAACCACCTTGTTCATGGTGTAACCCACTCCACTTACTCTCTCTACTGCTAAAAAATAGGGATGCACAATATTGGATTTTTGGCCGATATCCGATATGCCGATATCCTATATATGCTCCTTTGTCAGAACATATTCCTCTTATTTAGGCTTATTTGCTACAAAAATAGTGTAACAGCTGTAAGAGCTGGTGACATATATTCAGCAACAGCCATATGCATAGCACTTTAACTTATATTAAATGAAAAGTGTTAAATGTTATTTATTAGCATTAGTCACCTGCGATGCTGTCTCACTTGTGGAGGCTTGTTCCAGGTTCCTAGCTGCAGTGTGGGATCCTCTGCACTCCTGTGCATGAAGGACAGACTCTTTAAGTTCAAAGTTTTGTCTATCCATTGTGCTGTAAGACTAATCATGCTAACGGGGCTAACATGACGTCCACTTGCCTGTGGTAAAACTCACCCAAGTGCTATCAGCTATTAGCTTCTCAATGATGTCAGTAATGACGGCTTGTAACTCAGGTAAGGTTTTGTCGGAAAAATACCTCCGACTGAAGATGATGTATTGAGGTTCAATGTAGTCTAAAAATCTTTGGAATCCAATATCCTCAACGAAAAAGAAACTTCCACACTGCCGACATTTTGAATTTTCCTCTCCACTGTGATCAGATAGGTGTGCATGGCATCATCACGTTGTGCTGCAGCTGCAGACATCCTTGTCACTGGGTTGTCATACAAAAACAGCACCTTTTATATCGGTGAGTTATTTTGATGGAATGGTCGATGTCCGATATTGAACTTGAACGCCAGTATCGGCCGATACAGATACCATACCGAGAATATCATGCATCCCTACTAAAAGACTTAACATCAACAACGCTGCTGGTCAGGAGAATAATGCTGCTCAACTGGAAATCTACAGTTCCACCTACACATACAAAATGGATTAAAGGGCCTTTATTTTCTTAATCTGATTTTTAAACGCCACAGTTTTATGTTTTATATATATATATATATATATATATATATATATATATATATATATACACACACACACACACACATACATACATATATACACAGCCCAGCAGCAGAGCCTTGGATCCACTGACAGCTACCACACCCAGGCTTCACTAGGATCAGGCTCCACTGGGCCTGGTCACCACCAGGCCCAGGCTTTAGCAGGCTCAAGCTCTGCCTGTCCCAGCTACTACCAAGCCCAGCCACCACTAGGCCCTGCCTGGCCCAGGTTCCATCAGGCCTTGGTTTCATCAGGCCTAGGCTCCACCAGGCCTCACCTGGCACAGGCTACCTTGTACAGGATACACAAGGCCCAGACTGGCTAGTCAATGTGACTGGTGGGACTTTCTTGTTTAAACTTTGTCTATTTATCTGATTTCTCTATTTATCTGAAAAAATGCCACCTAAAAGTGTGATGAGGACACTGTTTCTCTCTCAACTGTATGTAACCTCTTGGATCAACAAAAATCTTTTTATAATGACCTCATTAAACAACAAGAAAACAACTTCAAGAGTTTTGTGCAAATGATCTATGATTCCAACAACAAATGCTACGATGACTTGAGTAGAGAAGTACAGGACCTCAAAAGGAGCCTAGAATACTCTCAAAAAGAAGCTGATGAGCTGAAAACTACTTTACAGGCCTTGACTACTGATACTATCAAACATCTTGAATCTAATGCGGAGGCTCTGAAAACTGAGAACAACCAATGGATGGCCAAAGTTGACTATCTGGAAAACCATTCCAGGAGGAACAACATTGTAGTTGATGGTATCCCAGAATCACCAAATGAAAAATGGCCTGACTCAGAGAAAAAATTTAGAGAAATTCTAAATGGCAAATTGAACATCGATCAAAAGCACATTGAAATTGATCGAACACATTGTCTTGGAAAGCCATTGAAGGATGGTGACAAAAGCCCAAGACCGATAAAATTTCAACTCTTCAGGTATAAAGACAAACAGCTCATCCTGTCAAACGCAAACAAAGTGAAAGGCTCACACATCTACATCAACAAGGACTATTCAGAGGCTGTGCATCAGAAGCGTAAAGAACTGCTGCCTGAGATGAGAGCGGCAAGAGGAGACTGGGCCTATCTGAATTATGATAGACTCATAGTGCGACCCAAGAGTGAGCGTCCTACGAGAGAGCGGCACCTGGGTTCTAATGAGGAGGATGATCAATAATCTGTTGCCCTGGCATTCAACCATGTTTTTAATTTTCTGTTCATCTTATGGTAGATCAGGTTCCATGTTCCCTGAAGCAAAAACAATTGAATGTATGTACTAATTTAACTACTGATAGTGACCCTGCAAACTTAACATCCAATAATAATTTGATTTTTCATTCTTTTGAGCCACAAAATGATCAGGTTTATAAAACCTGTTTCAATCCTGATTTATTCTTTTCATCAGAATATTCTTCAATAGACCTAAACACCTATGACAGAAACCACTCTAATATTTATCATCCTTCTACATGTAATGATTGTAATT